TTTTTACCTAGCAATTCGAGACTCTTAGCTTTTAAGGGTAGTAAGCGATTTTTAAGTAGCTTTTATCCTTCGGCAGTAACTATTTTTAACTCTAACATGTAATTTTAATTTTCATTTTTTATATTTCAATGGCGCTACTACAGGGCAAAAGATTCCCGATTTTATACATTTGTATTTTATTGGCTTAATAAATTATTATTATTATTATTATTAACAGATGTTGTTTGAAGATCTCTCCAGTCAAGGTCCTATTTAATACATGAATGAGCTTAAAGCAGCCAGTGAATCAAAAATCTGAACTGAAGTTGAAATTCTTTTACTGCTAGACTTCCTCATTTACAGGAAAACAAGCTAAATCAATAATACTGTAAACATTTCTACATAGGAAATTTTGTTTGATTAATTTAATATATGTTTCTCATAAAAGAAAAAAGAATTTTCCTTAAGTACACCATCAGATATGGTATTGGAAGATGTTATTGAATTGTGAGTATATTTGTGCTGGTTAAAATGGTAATTTAAAAGTGTTCTGTTTTTAATTCAGTGAAACTCTGAATTTTAACAATTATTCTCTAATACTTAAATTTTAATGTGTTGAAAGAAGATTTTAGAAAAAATCTTAAATTATACAAGATCGTGGATCAAAAGATCAGGATCTTTTTTGAGAAATTTCATCTTTAATATTTTTTACCAGTTGTGTTTTGTAAATTTCTAAAATGTTATTTTCATTTAGTGAAAGCACTCCAGAGGGTAGAAGAGTTACTAAACTTGATCAAATCCTACTAAATGGAAACAACATCACAATGGTAGGTATACATCTGATATATAGATATATATGCTGCTCGTGCCATGTACCTGAAGAGTGATAAAGTGCCAGAAAGTATGATGTATTTTTCATTAGATTCAGCAGAAATAGAAATTTGCCAACCACTGGTGAGGGTTCTTTTTTGGGGGTTTGAGGCATTTTAATCTACTTGAAAGATTAATTATTTATTTATTTGTGTTTTCCTTATTACAGCTTGTGCCTGGAGGAGAAGGTCCTGAAGTATGAAATCTGTTATAAAAGCGGAAGAAAGGATCATAATGTTAAAAACAAATGAACAAACATTGACAAAAGCAAGTTACCTGACCATCTGAAAGAAGAACAGTTATTGATGGCATAACAGAAAATGTTCTGTTACAATTTTTCTCAGATGTTCATATTTGACAGATGCTGATATGGTCACATTTGTTGAAGAGAGTGTTTTCTTTGGTTTACATACATTTAGTCTAAAGTCATGTCAGTCTTAAATAAGATAAGATTTTTTTTTTTTTTTTTTTTTTTTTTTTTTGTACAACATTTTGCTGTCTCCTTCATTTTTGGATGACAATATCAAAGTGTATTATGAGTGGATTTGTAGTACAATTTTATATATTTTTTAATGAAAAATAAATACCAGTCTTCTTAGAATCATTTCTTTGTCATTTTGTTGGTTATTTAGTGTGTACATTCATGCCACAACATTATCAATTTCAATTTTTTATGTATTGTACATTGCACTTCACATGAGGTGGATGCTCCAAAATGATAAATACTAAGTTGTGCTACTGTTTAATCAGATGAAAATATCGTAGATCAATCTCTAAAACTGAACGACTGATGAGTGCAAACAAAGCACACCAATGAGATCTGCTGCTGACTCGATCTATTTATTTTTTCACTTTTCTAGAAAGTTAAGAAGATTTGAAATCCCCACAAAATACAAACATACGTCATGGTTAAGTTGACTTCTTTTTACAATGAAAAATAATAGATCTAAGTAAATAGTGACTAACTAAAGAAAGGGTATGAAATGAAACTCCTATGCATTCAAGCCTCCACGCCGAAAAGAGCAAATTTTATAAACAATATCGCCGCCATCTTTCCATACAAGCCGGTGTCTCAAAATGTAAGTTAAAATCTCTTTGAATCCTCTGATTTTATTGACCATCGATGCAATATTGAGAAGTGTTTTTTTCATCAAATAAATATGCATACCCTGCATTTATGTTTATATGTTTGAGTACTTGCTAGAGCTTAAAATATTAACGTTGGGGTAACTCATACGACTTGCAAACGTAAATTATTTTCATCTGGGTCTGGAAATAAAACGAATCAAGTTCCTTATGTTTAATTTGATAAACGTTGGAGCTGTTTAGAAAAATAATGTAGTTTTAAGCATACCCTTCATCTAATCCCTTACATTAGTACCCTGGTTTTTACATGCAGTGAGACTCAAAACTTCTAGTAGAACATGCACCCAGTCAGTAAATAAACTCGTTTACTTTTATAGCAGTTGAACCTATCAAAGTCACCATACAAATTAATGTGGAAAAATATAGAAAATTAATTGTCTAGGTTTTGCTGACATGCTACAGAAGTACAAGATATTTGTTTTGTTTTCAAATAAAATATTCTGACTAGGGTAGCTGCTACCCTAGTCAGAATATTTTATTTGTAAACAAACTAGCTGACCTTTTGTTTGTGGTGAATGCTTATATATATATAATCTATCATTCACATTGTCTTGACTTGCATGCTGGGGCAACTTATTGATGCTGACAAGGGTATTGGGTTTTTCAAAAATATTCCACTGTTAAGTACAGCCTGTGCAAGGATTAAATTGAGTATTCCACTTGCAAAATATTTTGCTTGTTAAGGGGGCGTCTAGATAATCCTAAGGTTCATTGGTCCGAAAAATCATAGCATTTTCTTCAGTTTTTTAATCAAGTGTTCATTGGTGCGAAAGTTCTATACTAAACTTTTGGACCAATGAACCTTGGGACTATTGCTATGGCCCCGTCCTTTAAAAGGTAGAAATGGATCGATATATGGATATCTAGGTATGCAAAGCAAACCTCTCTACTGTGAGATCACATTTGTGTTTCATGTCATAAAAGCTTTTTCAGAATGATATTTTATTGAACTTTCTGGTGATCAGAATGGTCCATAGAAAATCAGTCTTATGTTACAAAGAGTACTTGAAACAATCTTAAATAGTTTGCCAGAATATATATTTATATTTACTGTGCATTATCATGTTGCACACATTTTTGCAGCTTCTGTTTTTGTACTGTAGTCCAACCTTTACAGTTTAAATTACTTAATTGGGATCTTTACTATAGGTATGTCTAATTCTGTCACTGTGGTAGTTGCTTCACAACCGCATTGTGGAATCCTTGAAAATGGTGACCTCCAAGTGTGTGTGTAGTGTATATTTATTTATTATAATTTGCAATATAGGGTTCGAAGCCGCAGTGCAAGCAGAGAAAAAAGTGCTGGTGCAAAAAAGACAGGGGAGCGAGGACGCACAAAAGAAAAGGAAAAAGATAAGAAAACTAAAGGTGGTAACAGCAGTGGTGACAGGTAAGTTATGTAATCGGTTACTTGGTATTGCTGTAATTTTTTTCCCAATTTGTATGGTTGGTTGCAGTAATTGATTAAGTTGAAGAACCAATGATTTATAAAATTCTTTTATCCATCTTAGTAAGTCAACTTTTATAAAATTATAAAAATGTGAAAGACATACATTAGACAGTACCAGTTTAAAAAAAAGATAATTAACCAAGCAGGCCCAGCACTTAGTTCCAAATTATTACCAATGGGTATCATGTATTATACAGTTCCAGTAGTAGCAGTTCCAGATCTAGGTCAAGGTCAAGCAGTTCCAGTTCTAGTTCTGGCAGTAGTTCTGGTAGTTCAAGAAGCTCTAGTTCAGACAGCAGTAGTTCCAGTGGATCTTCCAGCTCCAGAGATAGAGGAACCAGACGCAGAACAAAGTAAGAGATATTACATTTCAGATATGTTGTCCTAAACACTAGTACCTGCATCTGGCTTTGATGATGATGATGTACATTATAAGAACACTCCAAATTAGTTCAACCATGTAATCTTCTTTTAAAAAGATACATTTGAACTGAGAATGGATTCCCAGTAGACATATAAGGCACTTCAACTAATTTCTTATATGACTCAAATAAAGTTGACGTGCCAAATGAATTAATCACTCAGTCAGCCTTAAAAAGAGCTTTCAAACTTATTATTTTTCTCGGTTATTAACAGCGCAGAAAGTAAGCAGAAAATACCCATTCTAATTATATGAAACACTAACCTTAAATATTTCTGTAAGTTATACTATTTGAAACTATATGTTGACATTTGGCTGACTTTTGTGCCAAAAAATTGATTTAAAATGCACCTTTATATGCTGACAGAGAAATATAGTAATAAAATTATTTTTAAAAAATGAAAACATTTTACATACATTAAGATGTTTTAATTTTTTAAAAATAATTTCATTACTATATTTCTCTGTCAGCATATAAGGGGAATTTTGCTCAAAAGGATGTCAAAGACAACCTCTCCCCCTCTCTCCAAACAAACCTGTTTTAATGGAAAATACTTATATTCTCTTAGGGTATAAAATGTATTGTGCTACTAAGTGCTAAAATGAAGTGTTAAGGAAGGTGTAGACTATTTCACTTCTTAAATATGAATACTTGTCTAATGGTGAAATATGAATTTGATTATGTATAGCGATTGCTTTTAATTTTGCAGGGCAGCAAAACCAAAGTCCAAGTCCAGATCACGATCACCTGTCCGGAGAAAGAAAAGAAGCCCAACCCCCAAACCATCCAAAGTGCACATAGGTCGTCTGACACGAAATGTGAACAAGGACCACATTCAAGAAATCTTTTCTGTGTATGGAACAATCAAGAGCCTTGAGATGCCCAATGACAGACTACATGGCAATATTTCCAGAGGTTTTGCATATGTAGAATATGAAAAACCCGAAGAGGCAGAAAAAGCTATAAAACACATGGATGGAGGTATATCCCCCTTCCCCACACACCCCCATTTTTTATAATGCTTTATGTAGTGTGAGAATATTAGATTTGTGCTTAAGATATTGTTTTATAAGTGAAAGGACCTCATTTGCATCCAAAGTCATAACCTAAGTTTTAAACAGTGGTTCACCATATGTCATAACTAAGATATGTGAGCAATGTAATGATTTGTGGGGTTTTTAAAGGTTATATCTAAGATTGTGAGCAATGTAATGATTTGTGGGTTTTTTAAAGGCTGCACTTGATTTCATTGTTATTGTTAGTTGTTAATCTTAAAAAATTATTTACATTTTGTATTTCATTTTGTATAATTTGTAACCTCAATATGCAGGTCAGATCGATGGCCAGGAAGTGACAGCTGCAACCGTTTTAGCTCCCAGACAGCCCAGGATGCCACCACGGAGAAGTCCTCCCAGGAGAGGCCCCCCACCAAGGTGGAGGCAATCACCACCCAGGTTTAGGAGGAGGTATGTATCCAGGCCTGCTAAATATTTGAGTCAAAAAATGGAGATTTTGAGTTCATAGTTTTTGAAATATAAAGGCTGTGCTGTGAGAAATCTGAATGTACAGAATTATCTTAAATGATATCTTTCAGGTCACCACCTCCAAGAAGACGCACACCTCCAAGACGGTCACGTTCTAAATCAAGGTCAAGGTCACCAGCCAGACGAAGAAGACACAGCAGATCTAGTTCCAGTGAATCAAGATAAAAAATAAATAGAAAATACAGACTGAACTGAATTTTTCAATCAAGATTGGTTTCTCTCTTTATGTTACATATGTAGGCAGTAATTAAAAGATTTATGGAAAAAGTGAAGAAATTGTCTAGATGTCAATATCATCAATTTTTTGGCTTCGCAAGATGTTAAATCTTTAAAACCAACATGTGCATGAAACAATTGGCTTCAGAATAATTTTAATAATGTAAGTCCAACAAACAACTTTACCATGAATACCCACAGGGTCAACATGAAGTTTTTACAACTTTTCAACTAAGTAGCATTTTGTATTTGTATGTATCAATATCATGATTTTAATGTTCATTAAAGATCTTAGATTAACTTCTTGCATTTTTTTGTCCAGTGAGAGTCCTCAATTACAGTTTGTAATTAGATTTTTACCATACAAATTTCAGAAGGTTCAAATTTTTTTTTTTTTTTTTGCTCGTTTTATTATTCAGGCATATTATGATAAATTTTTGTTTAAGTGAACCTATGTACATTTAGACTGTTCCCATTCCCAGATCGATCCATCTCCACAGGGTCCCTCACTAAATTGCTATCAGCCCAAGCGGCTTGGATGTATGGGACGCCCACTCAGGCTGTAAAACAATAGTTAATTACCCCTATCAGCTTCAGCAGGCATGACAGACATCTAAACTGCCTAAGTTAATTGTAATTAAACAGGAATCCAGATAGTTTAATCCAAAGTTAGTACAAGTCTCTGGGAATGGTCTCTTACAGTAAATTTGGTATGAAATCTTTAATTTTTACAATGATGCATTATTTCCTTGTTCAAAAATAAGTACTTCATGACATTAGGTGAAAATGTTTGAATAAGTGCCTTTTTGTTTTGAATGGGCAATAAGAGTGCAACACGGGTAACCTAAGGTTTCTTTCTTTACAGTGAAACCCTAAATTAACACTGAAATAGTGAAGTTGCAACCAAAGGCTTGACATATTTTGTAAGAAGTGCTCCAATTTTGTCAGTTCCAAATTTTTTTCCAAATAGACTCAATGGGCAGAAACTGTGTATCCACAACATGCATTGTAAACCAGAAAAAGGCAAATACAACCACATTTCTTACAGAAATAATTTATTAATATGTATACTTTCATATGACACCATGTGAGGAAGGAGTATATAAAAATGGATAGAAACGGGCCATTTGTTGTACACAGAGCCTTGAAACCATTTCTTCTACAGCCAATCACTTTGAAATTTGGAATCTCTCTGGGGCTATTCAAGTATTAAACAATACATTTAAAAGAAATAAATTACCTTATCAATAAAAGGAAAAAAAACAGGCTGCTGCTTGGAACGGTTTCAAAGCCCCATATTATGATGTTTGTGCTGGGCATTTAAAACATTAACTGTTTAATGACATGATATAGTTGTATAAAAAATTGCTGCAATCCACTTATTCAGCCACTGATGATGCACTTGTATGATAACAAACAAACGTATAGATTTGAATGAAATTTCATTTAAATGTCTCAGCTGCTTGCAATAATCACAAGTCCCAACTGACATCCAAGTCAGACTATGACAACAGTTTAGAATGTCCATCATAATCGTTTCAGTGTTTTCTTTTTCTCTTTTTTCCTCTTTTCTGCAAGCTTTTTGTCTCCTGCATGCTTTTTAGCAGATGGACCATCTGAATTTTTGTCCAAGCACTCTTCTTCACAAGAAGATCTAAAAGTGAGTCAAATGGTGTTTGTAAGTTCAACTCTACTGGTACATAATGAATAGGAGCAACAAAATGAGCACGAGATATATTTAACAGTTAATTGACCCTTTTGTAAAATAAACTGAATAAAACTTTCAAAGTGCATAAAATTAAAAAAGAAATCTATCAGCTATCCATACTGGGTGCATCTGCTTTTATCTTGAGGTTTCCAATACGTCTTTAGTGTCAAAAAATGTGTACAACCACATGAGCATAAGCATTCTGCTTACCTTGGAGGTTTTGCATGAATATCAGTGTACAATCTAGCTCTCTGAGAATAATCATCATATTGCTCCAACAAAAGTTTTCCTGCCTCTTCGTTTAATGCGGACTCAGGATTTGGGACAATCAACAGGCACTTTATTGTCTATAAAAGAAGTGTTCAGTATATGTCAAGAAATATGTTAAAACTGGAGAATAAAAACAAAACACCTTTTTAAAAATCTGATTGTTCCTCTTAATGATTTTAAATTAGTTTCAACAACTGTATATAATTAAAATTAAACCAATAATTATTGTTGTTAACTTTTACTTTGAATATAAACAAAAATGTAAAGAAACATGCAACTAGCAGCACAAATATGTACCAATAAAATGTGTTTTATTCCATATTCCGTCTTCCAGTCTCTTTTTAATGTATTTACACAGATTTCACCATTTTTGGCAACATTGGGATGGAAAATTTTGGTAAGGAAGAAACCTTTCGGAGGCTCACTTGGAAAACCTTTGCTGAGCACCAACTTTACCCTGAACATACCACCAGCATATGGCGTGCCAGCTGAAATATAAAAGAAAAGATGACTATTGTTCATAAGGCAAGTGAATTAAAACTCATGTCAGTTGCCTTTGATATTATCACATGTTCCTGTTGTATTAGATTCAAATGGTTGGCAACATAAACAGATGTGAGAATCTTTACTTCTTCTAAACATTAAAGTAAATTGATTAATTTAAATAAGTTATTAAACCAAACAAATATAAATATACTCATCTCATCTAAAGCACTACCTAAACAAGTAGAGAAAATACTCTAACATACATAATATCTCATATTCTGCCTGTAACACTAAAATGTACTTAATAATACACTGTACTAACTACTAGTAACCACAATATACACCCTCATGCACAATGACCAACCCCTGAACCCTCACTGCCACTTTACCTGGACCTTCTATTGCTGCTTGTATGTCTGTGATGTCCTCTTCATTGGGGATAATCTTAATACCCTCAGGTGGGTCAGACTGGAGTGTCATCAGCTCTTTAGTGACATGACGCATAATCTGCGGTGACAAGTTCTCCACATTACTCTGAAAAAAGAAAGACATTTATACATATACATTATGATACCATATGGTGTCTCACTGGAGTTTTTAAAAGGCATGCTCCTACTTAATGAAGACTGGCAACAGTGGACGGACTTTTGGGCATAGAAACTTTTATAAATGGTCAAGCTTATAGTCCTTTATACACAGAAGGTAATTTAGGTAATTAGTTACGAAATGTCAATTACAAGACATTGACAAGCATTTTCCTTACTCCTGTCAATTACTGTATGTTATTCTTTTCTCCAAATCTGAATGTTGCTAATATTGTCATCATGGAAAGATGATCCAAATGTATAAATGTGGCAAAACACATCAAATCAAACCAATATCAAAGTCATGTTATATTTAATAAATTCACTAGTTGAAGGCTCTTACAAATGCATTATACTTTAAACAACTGTTATTAATTTCATGAAACCAGTGAGTTTGTGCTGGGTGACTGACAATTCTGGTAAAAACTTAGCAGTAATTTTAAACATAAATTTGTTGCAGCTGTCTTAATTCACTGATATAAAATTTGTGTTTAAGTACAGAATATACAAATACAGTTTACAATAATATTGTAATCTTACCCTAGACATTGCCGATAACACAACAGGAGAAATATTCAATGCTTAAATTGCCTGCGATTCAAGAAACACTAGAATTACTCCTGCCCTGTGTACAAACCAGCTGTAAATTTACAAACCAACCAATCAAATGTCAGAACAGATCGTTGGGAGATTCCGGACCGTCAAAAAATTAAGAAAAACACATTTTTGTGGCATTACGACGCCATAAGCCTATTATGTACTTCTTTTTTATAAATTGGAAAATATATATCTTTATATTGTGACTGTTTGTCAATTTTATCGATAATTCGACCAACGAGATTTTGCGAGACCCAAACAAACTTTTAGTGCTCAGAGATTACCACGCGTTTTGCAGAGTCAATACGTTATCATATGTCTATGCTATATAAACTATTGTCAGTGCAAGGAGAACCGATAGCAATATTAAGCAACCATGTCTAAGCACAGGTAGATTGTTTAAACCTATATAAGAAACTTATTATAGTTACGGCTGAAGTAAAACTGTAAGTTATACCGGTGGTATCATATGGTCTATAGTGTTACAGTGAAGACTTCGAGGGTCATTGAAGGAGAAGCTTTTTCGTAACTGTAGTACTGTTTGGCTTTTAAAATAACCTCTCTACTAAACAAACAGCCTTGTCAACTTCATTCTTAATACCCACCACAGAGACCCTATCAGTTTTATTAGGTCTTATTATCTTTTTTTTTTTTTTTTTCTGACTTAGAAGTTTGATTAACTTTGATCAGCTTTACTCACCGCATTATACAGTGTACTACCTCACAAAGGCCACATTGTTACTCTCCATTGGTAAAAATGTGACACATAAAACTCAATTTTAAGTTTAAAACCGTTACCATAAAAATTGGGATCCAAAAGCGGATACATTTTAGAATCTTCAATTTAAAATGTTGAGGTACAGTACTGTAGTAACAGTGTGGTGTATTAGTATTAAAATATTGATGCATAAAACGTACATACTTTTGCTAGGGAGGGAAACATTGGGGGACCATATAGTCTGAAGAGATTTTCCTGATGCTTCTCTACACTAACTTCTTATGTGTTTAAGCATTGTTGTATTGTATGTCATTTAGAATTGACTTCTAGTACTTCCCTACAAAATGAACTACCTAGAAATATTTCTTTAGACTTTCAGATGACTAAAGCACTGGATTTATCAGTTTATTTAGATGACACAGGGTCATATCTTTATATCCCCACATTCATTCCTTCTCCTCATCAATTTTTAATGACAAATTGAAGCATTTTTCACTTTAAGGGCCAAGTATATGTACAGTGTACATTTGAAATCAAGAATATCGTTTTTTCCCTTATGTGTCTCATTTTTACCAGTGTGGAGTAATGATGCAGGGGAGTAAGGACACAGGGGAATAACAAGACGTAACTGACTATTATAGTGTGTCCCCATAGATTGTGTTGTGCGTGAGTTCAAATTGGCCGACTTGAGAAAAACATGCTCATTTCTCAGCATTTAAAAAAAAAATTTAAAATTTCATCTAGAATAAGGTTCATTCATGAACAGAAACAAATGTTGAAATTGTTGTAACATCTATTTCATCTAAAATATTTTATTTCATTTTGATTAAAATTTATTTTAAAATCATGTTTTGTCATCCGTTTTAATATTTAAATGAAATCATATGGCAGATTGGTACAATGCACATGCCTTACCTTTAGAAAATTCTACAATATAATGCCAAGATCAGTTTCATATCAGGTTTATGATTACCTTATGCCATGCTAATTATCAGTTTATTCAGTTACTTAAGATGTATATGTTCAAACCAAAAAACAAACGCTCAGGCACGGTCAGCTCACGACTCCTATCTTCCAATTCAGTAACAGTTAACATAAACTGATCCTGGCATAACCGAGCTATTTCGAACAAATAAATGATTGTGTGGTATGTTTCCATGCCAGCATGACCTAGTTTGTCAGGTTGTGCAAGACCCTCCACACTTATTTATGACCCCTTATAGCTATGATTGTATCTCTGCCAGTTTTGGAAATATAACAGGGAAATTTTCAAAATATGTGTCATTTGGTCCTTGGCATTGGTCCCACTTGCATCTCATACCACAAAATAGTGGATGGAGGTGATTTAATTGCTAAATAGGATGTCACAGTCAATCCAGTGAAGTACATTAGTGGCATAACTGTCTGCTGATCCTCTCTAGTTATCTAATGCTTCTAAATTTTGATTTTATCTTTGTGCATGTAAAATAATTGGAGAGACTTGAAAGTGAAATAATGTTCTAAATATGCATTTATATGTTTTTTTTTTTTTTTTTTTTTTTTTTTTTTTAGTGGTAATAATTAAGTACTTGTACATAGAAAAGAAAACATTTAGCTATGCATCATAAGTGCACTGCAGTCACACCACAGAAGAAATGAATGCTTTTATATGCCTCAAACTAATGAAGACAAATCATTTTTCTATATTGGTACACACACACACACACACACACTTTTCTTGAAGCTTCACTTCAGAAAGAATGGCAGAATATATTTTATTTCATGTATTGTTACATGTACCCATGTACCCCATTCCCTCCCCCACCCCGGCCTTTGCAAAATCTGCTGTATAGCATTAGTGGACAAAACATGCCATTCTTTTGGTGTTCCTTCAATCCTTTCAGTGTTGAAGTACTAGTACTGTTTTATTGCACAGTACTCCTTATCTCAAGTTATTGGTTCAGTAACTGTTGTCGATAATATGTTTACTTAGTGCATGTTTCTAATATTCCAGTGTGATTCACCAGTCTACTTGGTCTATCGGCCTTGTCATGCAACCAGGCTATCAGAATCCTAAAGCAGCCTACAAGTAGCTTCTGAAAGGCTATATACGCATTTGCTTTACAATCCAGAAAAAAACAGAAGATTAGGAAAAAAAACAGACTGAAAGCAATTGCATATGGGATATCAAGAAAAAGTCGGACTGAAAACAAGAAAACATAGATGAAGAGATCTACTTACCATATTGTTCAGTTATGGCAAATGAGCCTGAGTTCATACACAGGTATCATTGCAGCACAGTCAAATGGTTGAAATTGCTTTCTAGATGTTAATTATTAGAAGGCAAACACATTCAAATAGAAGTAATATTTCAATTCGACAGGAGGCAGTTTACCTTACATCATTAGTGCAAGAAATATTCAAAGAATACTGAAGGAAATTCATATTATGGACAGAAGAAAAATCTGGAAAACAATTCTAAGAAGTGATAAAGGAGTTTAGTATCACACAACAAAAATATATGGATTCCTGATTCACATGTGGCAAATAGCACTGTTACAGTAATATAAATTGATGTAAGCTACACACTGCAATGGAAGTAGCCATAAGCATATAGCAGTATACACAGGAGATTTTATACTTCAGTTACAGAAGAAACTGGATTTTATCACATTGAACTGAGGGCACTTATGTTGCAACACATAAGAAAGTGTATTTCAGTTGAAAAACTACCTTCACACTAGGATCACCTCGAAAAGAGTACAGTACAGTTTCATCTGGACATTGATGGGTCACAAAGTTTCAAAGGCAACAACTAAGATTGAAGATGTATCTGGAGAAGGAGTTGAGAGGTCATTGACACCTGGTGATGACAAAGTAATTAACATTCTTGTTTTAAGAATGTGCATTCATGTTTTTCTTTTTTCNACTGAGGGCACTTATGTTGCAACACATAAGAAAGTGTATTTCAGTTGAAAAACTACCTTCACACTAGGATCACCTCGAAAAGAGTACAGTACAGTTTCATCTGGACATTGATGGGTCACAAAGTTTCAAAGGCAACAACTAAGATTGAAGATGTATCTGGAGAAGGAGTTGAGAGGTCATTGACACCTGGTGATGACAAAGTAATTAACATTCTTGTTTTAAGAATGTGCATTCATGTTTTTCTTTTTTCAAAGTCAAATCTGAGTAGGCATCAAGCAATTTATGGTAGAATTTGATTTGAAATTAGTTAGACATCAATTTGTTAAATTGATAATTTTGTATTTTAGAATTCTGGAGAACCAGCAGCCAAGTATCAGAACTTCATAGTTGGCCATGAGGATAGCATGGGTGCAGAAGGTAGGTTTTAACCAGAGACCTCAACAGCAGGTGCCTCACTTAACATATAATTTTTCCACTCATCACCACTCCTGTGCAAATCCCAACAAATAGAACAGGGAAATATGTCTGCTTATGCATCATGCATAAATTTCTACTAAGTAAAATACATGTACATACTGAAATGAAAACAACTGCCTTTAAGATTGCCTTACAATCTTTCACAAAAACTGATACTTCAGATGAACTGATTATTCTTTAAGGGATAACAACTGTTACTGTTCATTTTGGTAAAAAAATGAATCTTCCTGGGGTAATCGACAACATTCCCATACTTACCAATGATTCATGAAACCGATCAAACATTAAAAGTTAGTCCCAGTTTTTTTTTTTTTTTTTTTTTTTTTTTTTTTTTTCCTGAAAGGTTTGGATTTTTGTAAAAATCTCTATCAATTTTGTGGTAAAATAAAATTTATTATATTCCTATGAGTTGTTTACCATGTATTTATTGTGAAGTATGGATCTCATACGAAGAGTTGTTATCCCTTTCAATAAAATTGTTGATGACAGCCTGATATTATTGTTGTGACACTGCTTATGGGGCATTTTTTCCCTGTCCTAGCCACAACATAGCACTGAGCAATTTTGATATGTTGACTCACCCAACTCAACTTATTATTTTATTAAACCTTATAACTCAATGAATCTGTTTTTTTTTTCTTTTTTTTTCTTTCTTTCTTTCTTCAGTAGAATATTGTGGTTAGTATGTAAATGTACAAGAAGCAAATTCAGTTTGTTTTTAGATATTTTGTCATAAGCTTTATTTGCAAAAGATGTTGATAAATAGTCATATTGGCTCCAGGGTGATACTTAAGTAATGTTATGGTGTTGGCAAATGTTTGAATATTTTATGTAGTTATTTCTTGAGGTTTATCAATAACTAGACAAATTGGATGTGATTCTGATTTATTAAAGATCAAAGTCAAATATTTTCATCGATCAAACTTAGGCAATATTTAGATTTCCCAGAGGAACTTTACTGCTGCCAGTACAGGATTAATCTGGGAATTAACTGCATACATGTAATTGCAGTTTGCTTTTTTTTCATAAAGAAAAAAACATCAAGTTTAGCTAGTTTTTATTCCTAGTAAAATCTTTAGTAAAATATTATCTTATGTAAGCATTCCCTTAATGTGCTTTATTGATTTATTTATGATTTTTTTAAGGTGGGGCTGAGAGTTCGGAGGTTAATGCCAAATCTTCCTCTGCTGGGAAAAGGCAAAATTTTGGGAGGAGAAATTCTAAGATATGTCCTTCATTAGTAGATTCTGAAGAGGGGGAGCCTTCTGTCATTTCCTCAGAAGTTTGTAAATGCTTCATCACTGTATCAGCCAGTAGTGGTGAGCATGGAGAGTCTGCTGAAGTTGGTAAGAAGGAGCCAGGCTCTGACCATGCCACTTCTGGAAGAGGGGCGGTACCAGTCCCTGTCAATCAAAGAAAAGAGCTTGGAATGCTGAGCACCATGGAGTTCTACAATATGTTGATGGAGGGTCCCACCAGTCCTTACCTTTATGATCCACACTATGTTTTGATTATAGACACAAGAGAAAAGGAAGAATATGAATCTCTTCATATCATCACTGCTGTTCATGTCACAGTTCTCAGTGAATCTCTGATGGTCAGTGACTTCTCTAAGTATGTTCATATCATTCTGTATGACAAAGATGGTAGGTCACACTGTCTCACTGAAAGTCCAATGTCTCAGTTACAAATGAGACTTGAAGACTTTGAACCAGAAGTGTTAGAGGGAGGCTTCGATGCATGGCTAACTAAACACCCTTATTTATGTACTGATGAGATAATTTTTTCAGAACTGCAGCGAGAGGAGATGTTTTTCACATATCCTTCTATGATCCTGGAAGATTGGCTGTATCAGGGGGCTGGGCAGCATGCTACAAATGAGAAAATCATCTCTGATCTTGGCATCACTCATGTCATTAATGTGGGACTGGAGCATCCTTCTCCTTTTAAAGTTCGGATGCAATATTTTGAGGTTCGTGTAACAGATGACCCGGGATCCAACATAATCAACATATTCCCTAAAGCAACAGACTTTATGAGACAGGCCAAACTAAGTAAAGGCAAGGTTCTAGTCCATTGTAACTTGGGAGTAAGTCGAAGCTCTGCTGTAATACTTGCATTTCTCATTACAGAGTTTCATTGGACATTAATGGATGCCTACAAAGTGCTTAAGAATACAAGAAATGTTGTTCGTCCAAACTTAGGTTTTTTAAAGCAGTTGTCAGAATATGAAGAAAGAATATTTGGGAAGAAGCTGACTGATATTGATGAAATACATTTTGGTTGAGTGACATTTTATCTAAAATGGTTTGTTTTATTTTTTTCACTGCACATTTAAAAGCAGCTGATATTGGAATGCAAACTTTTATTTAGAGTTAATGATTGGAAAGATTTTTTTGTGTATGTGTGTGTGTTTATATTCTATGTAAAATTATGTTTCATTGTTTTATTTGAATTATTATTATATAAAGACATGGGGTGAATTATTGGCTCAGAATTTTTCATGTAAAATTGATTTCACCAAAGAAACACTTCCCTTTTTTTCCCCCAAGGTCAAATTTGCCTCGTTCATTCATTGTAGACACATATATTAACCCCTTTTTAAATTCATTTATGAAATGTGAATGTTGTGGCTAGAAATCATTATAATCTTTTCATCACAAGCTTATTTTCTAGATCTTGGATATCCTTTTTGTTTTAATTTTTTAGCAAGTGTGTATTAGCTTTAATTTTTTAATGAAGTGTATATTTTTTAATTACAATATATTGTCATATAATGAAAAACATTTTAATTAGATACCCATGTAACTTGATATGTAATATCAAATATTTACATATATATTGGAAAACATCAGAGTAGTAAGATTTAGTGGACATCAACTAGGAAGTCCAACAATGACTTACCTGATCACATACCTCATTGATTTATTTTAATAAATGTATTCTCTTTATTATTATAATATGTTTAAACTTTTGTTAAGATAAATATATTTTCCTTATTTGCATTGCTATGTTATTGGAGTATGTGAATTTCTCATGCATATCGTAGTATGTATTACATATTAATTACGTAATATATAAGTATGTGCCAATGTAGATATACAGTAAGTGCTGCTAAATGTGAACATTAATGACAAATGACCTGTGGTATTATTTCAGAAACTGTTGATTTTACAAATATTATTCAATGGCATTTCATTAAAATTGTGGACCAACACATATCCAATAAAAATTCATGACCTGTTTTCAAGGTGTACATCAGTACACATTTTACTGTATCATACCCCAGGACAAATTTTGACAAATTTTGAGATGAGATGCACTACTTTCCAATACCACAGAGAATCATCACTATCTCATCGCGTACTAGACAAGAGCGGTGTCGCGTCAGATGCTTCGAAGCACGTACAGTACATGTACTGATACACACCTTGAAAACGGGTATTGTGACCCAATCTACCGATGACTTCAGGATCATTCAGTGCCGAGTCTGGTAGCTGGGTCGCCCATATTTAGTTCCCAGATCTGTTAGTATGTGGACCATCTGGTCTGAATGCTCTGACTGCAATATGGATTTTGCGAAGTGAATGGTTGTGAAAAGTTAAGGTTCTGAAATAAAAGTTAAATATTTTCATTGAAGTAGAGAATTATATATACAAATTATTGCAATTTATTTACAATTTATGTCAAATTTTTAAAAACTTTTTTGTTATTTATAATTAAAAAGCAAGTACCAGATTGAATGACATTAAATTTAATATGTTCTGTATATATAAATGGAAATAAATTTGAATATTCAGAAATGCTCATTTTGATATCAGGAAGTGTTTAGCATGATAGTGGCACTAGAGATTTGGTTTTGAATTTAGCAGTTAAGAAAATAATGAGAAAGCGTGATCATTCCTATGAACTGAGGCCAATCTTGAAATGACAGTTGGATGCAATTTTTCAGTGAGATTTTAAACATAAATTAATTTTAAATTTACATTAAAATGTCATCCAATAAAGCAAAATATGATTTAAATGTTTAAAAGTGTTTGAACACACGTAGTGTACTATGTCTATGCTGAGCCTTCTGTGGCTATCTCACCTACCAAGTAACTGGTGACTATAAAACGAAGAAACAAAAAAGACATGTGGCAGCGGTGGGATTCGAACCCACGCCTCCGAAGAGACTGGTGCCTTAAACCAGCGCCTTAGACCGCTCGGCCACGCTACCCGAGTTGTGAGGAATGGCCTCAAAGCACGTCCTTATTACATTACATATTACTAATTTTATTCTAACGAAATTAGAAAGATAATGTGGTAAATTGAAGATTAGTCTTATTTCTATGAAAATATTCGTAATTCATATATCGAGAAATTTACTTCTGTTGGTATGTATACTGTCATTGTAATGATTATGTGACTTTTCGTTTACGGCAATCGTAGCCAGACTAAAACTTTCTTTTCAATCCTTCAAATTAGAAGAGTAGATGCTAGCGCACAATGTTTTCAACGGTAGCACGATGCTTCCTCAGAATATCGCTCTCAAGTCGCGGAGATGCAGGCATAACTGTCCGAAAAGCAGGATACAAAAGCCGCTACTCTTATGACACGTTATACCCAAAGAGTGATTTTAATGTCACTGATACTCGGGAATTGAGTAAAGAATATTATCCCCCAAAGGTCGGTATACATGTACATGTATTTAAATAGAAATATCATCCTGAGATCCAACATTATATGATGGAACCTAGTCTAGTAGTGTCATCGTGCATGGTACAAATGCAGCTTAGACGTCTGGGACGCCCACTAAAGCTGTTAAACAATAGTTAATTACCCCCTATCAGTCTCAGCTGGCATGACAGTCATCTAAGCCATCCAAGTTAATTGCATTTTAAAAGCGAGAATCCCCTTGGAGATAGTTCGACACAAAGTTAGTACGATAGTCTCTGGGATCGGTCTCCAAGAATGGGTTCCCATACCTTGATCGATCCATCTAGATCGACCTAACTCCTTGGGGGTTCACGCTAAATTGCTATCAGCTCAAGAGGCTTAAATGTCTGTCACATGCCTACCGAATCAGCTATAATATTGCCCCCTAACAGTTTTACTAGGCATGACAGATGTTTAAACTGGTTAAGTTAATCGCAATTTAGTGAGACTCCCCAGGGAGATAGATGGATCTAAATATCTGTGAGAATGGTCCCAAAGGCACAGTGGGATTCCGATAACATGATCCCTAACTTTAATTTTGTTTTTGTCTTTGGGATAAAATGAATAGTTTTCTGAGTGATTGTCTTGTTTTTAATATAAAATTGATAATAAAGTGTGGAATAGGACTTGTAAAGATGAGATTGTGATTAGATTTTAACCCTTTTCATGGACTAATTCCAAACTTTTAAAATTTCAGGAACCTTCTCAAGAATTGCCCGAAACAGAGACCCAAGAAGAATTTAATGGGTATATTCCTGAAGGTAAAGTGCTTTCTAAATGTGTTATTAATTAAGGGACAGTAAGTCAAAAATTATATATGTACTGCATGACACTGCATCTCGGTATGCTTTATAAAATGTGTGGATCTGATTCAAACAAGTAGATAATTCTCACCTCCCTGGAGAAAATATGGCTGTACAATATACTTCATTACTAGACCAGGTACTAATTAGTAACCCTGCTTCAGCCTTTAAATGCTGATTGAGTGTCAAACAAACAGACATAAGGTGCTGTGTATAAAAGACTGGTACTATATATATCCCCAACTGAATCAAAGCAACATCCTTCTGCTCTGGAGGAAGATGCTTTAACCACAAGGTCATCCAGTGACTTACTGTTGTAATCAGTTATGCTACTTCCTTTGATGACTTTATAAATTGGATGGTTATTCCTGTTTGTTTATATTTGTAAGCTGCACAGTAAATTATTATATAAATATGTACTTTTTTGTGACACAGGTAGTTTGGAATTTAAGTATACACTCAGTGGTGGACCTGGAGGACAACATGTAAATAAAGGTAAAGATGACGAACATGAAGGTTGAAAATGGTTAAAGATAAACTAACATAGGATATGAAAACTGGTTAAAGTTATAAGATGATGAATAAGACTGCATTCCCACAGATTTAGATCGATCCATCTGGATCGACCTTTCTCCCTTGGGTTCACACCAAAATGCTGTCAGCCGAGCGTGCACGGAAGTTAATTACCCCCTTAAAGCTTTCAGTAGGCGGGGCAGACATTTAAGCTGGCTAAGCTGACAGTAATGTAGTGAAACTCCCCACAGGGATAGATTGGATCTAAAATCTGTGGGAATGCAGTCTGTTGTAGTAGTAAGATAGTGAACTAATTATATTTTTGAATTAAGCACCAAATGATTTTGACATTTTGAGCATAAATACTTTTACAATGTGACATTGATTTTTAAACTCATTCATTGCTTCCTAAGAAAGTTGGATGTTTGCATGCCGAAAAATCAGTTATTATTTTATTTCTATTATTGATTTTAGTGAACTCCAAAGTCCAAGCAAAGTTTCACATCGATAGTGCTGATTGGATACCAGCTTGGATCCGACCACGGCTAAAAGAAATGGTAGGTAGAATTAGTTTGTTGAGGGAGCAGCATTTATTGGTTTTTATCACTGTGATATACATGGAAGACTGTGTCATTTGTGGTTTATATTGGTTGAAATTTCACCCTTTTGAATGTGACAAAAATTTTATTTGAGTAGCTATGTTAGGGTACATGCATAAAGGATCCTTTCTTTCATGAAATATTGGTGGAAGCTTTAACATCATGGCTTAATGTAATTAAACAGGATATATTGTTTCTTCTATTTACAGGAGAAAAGTAATATAACAAAGGATGGTTATCTGTTGGTCAGTTCTGACAAGACTAGGAAACAATATCTAAACAAGGCAGACTGTTTGGAAAGGATAAGGAAGATGATTTGGACTGCAGGTGTACCTGATCCACCTCCTCCATCTGAAGCGGAGATAATGAAAAAGCTTATAAAGTATGTATGTCGATGTGTGTGTGTGTGTGTGTGTGTGTGTGTGTGTGTGTGTGTGTGTGAGAGAAAGAGAGAGAGAGAGATTTATTTTAAATCTAGCTTTTATGGGTTACAGAAAAAAGTTTAAATTTTACTTGATTTGCAACTCAGATGCATACAGCACTTGCTCAAGTTTTCAAAATACAACATATGAGCAATTATTATGTATCAGTTATTATTGATATTTAAATTGACAGTATTCAGTTTGTTTACAGTTGTCAGTTCAGCATATATATATGATTTTTTCAATACGCATGGTTGTCTAAATTTTAAACATTATATTTTATTTTCCAGGCAGATGAAAGCAAATGAAGTCAGAATTGCAGAAAAAAGAAGTCAATCATTAAAAAAGAGAAATAAAGCATCAGCATCTGTAAGATTTATACAGAAGAAAGGATTTTGAAACTATGAACATAATGAACTATACACTCTGAAGAAAATCTGAATATGATAATTTTTTAAATTACTGAATTAAATTATATTGTTAAGTTTCTGCATAAGGGAATGGACAAAGAATGGTATTCTTGAAATAAAAGCATTTAAGCTGGGTTGTTAGTCTGTGGACAGAAGAAATGCCATTTTTATTTTCTAATATCTTTTTATGTACCTGTAAGTTACTGACAGTAGCATATTAGGGACCTCTCAATAAAAGCAGCTGCTATTGGCCAAATTTCGAACACTATATTTGTGTTTGTCCTTTACTTATCCTTTCACTTGGGTTAATGAGGAGACATAAATATTATAAAAGGCATTTGCTTTATGCCCTAAAGCTTTTATTCAGATAATGTTTAAGATAAAGAAATGGCCTGGTTAAGGTGCATTTACAGCCCAGTTGCAACAGCATGGTTTATTACCATGCTATCTGGGCTGATGGCATTTCACTTTTCAAGGGGCAGCACACAGTTTTTGTTTTACTCAAAAGTACACAAACCACTCCTTGGTTAACTTATCTAAAGGCAAGTAATATTTTTGATGATTTAAACAGATAAATGCTAGTCTATTTTTTTAAATTCTGACGAACCTCGCCAGCCATCTAGACATATCAGAGCTCCAAGCTGGGTCAAAGAGTTCACTCCTTGCCCCAAATGATGGGGGAATATGAAAAACCCACGCTTATAGGCCTTTTAATTTTCCCAGAGTTGTAGAGTTATGGAAAGCGCCTGCAAAGGTTGGCTTGTCGACATTTGTTTAAACGGCCCAAGACTTTGTTATGGTAGGCTTGCATCTTTTAAGATTTGAAAACTTTTTGAACATTATCTCATCTAATTAACAACCTCTGTTCAGTACAAGGCACCGTAACTGCTGTAAACAAAATAACTTACCAAGATTCTAAATCGCAAGAGCCAAGCTTGTAACCTCACATAACGTGTTTGTCACACTACAAGAGGCATAGATTCTTTGGTAAAATTAGTATACGCGCGGTAACGAATTTTGAACATCCTCGAAAACGCTGGAATTAGGTTGGTTCCCAATGGTTAATAAACTAGACATCTTTAGATTCCAATAAAAAGACGTGCCCATGGATATAAATACCTTCAAGGGTCGTGGGTGAATTTTTAACGGGAAAAGAAAAACGAAAAAAAAGGTTTAAATATTTAATGATCATTGTAATAGATATTAAATTTTTTATAATTATAGCTTTTGCTGCGACGTTCTAATGTCGAGTTTTCAGTTACGTCGTGCACATTTATGACGCCATAATGTGAACGCCATGACAACGTCTTTCTTCTGCGGGCTTATGCAACCAGGAGGGCGCTACCAGGAAACACGCTCTATAAATCTTCCAACTTGTCAGTAGATAAGTAAGATTTTGAGGATTTTTTTCAATCACTTGAGTGACGTGAAGAAACCTGAGCATAATGGCAACCTGGACGCCAGTCATTTTCGACTTGAGAGACGAACCCGTGGTTTTGAAGAAGAAAAAGGGCGGAGCTTGGAAACCAGACGCCAATTCAAGATACAGCATTGTCAAGCACGGCTATAAGTTAGATAAAACCATAGGCAATGGACTTTTCTCAAAAATCAAGCTTGCTTACTGCGAGAAAACCAATAAGAAAGTCGCCATCAAAATAATATACAAGAACAAGCTGAGGCCAGAAGTGCAAGATGAATATTTGGATGCTGAGGTGGCGATCATGCAAAATTTGGAGCACCCGGGTATGGTAAGTAACTGTTTCACGTCCTATCATCTGCCTTCATATAGACAGTATATAATATGTGGCGTGAAAATACTGAAGTCCTGAGGTGGGTAAAATATTACTTTTTGGTTTTGAAAGGAGCCGTTAAGCAGGTTATGAGTGAGCGATCCTCTACATTTTCTTGAAAAAATAGCAAAATTCTCTTTAATGTAAAAATGACAAAATTATGATGAATAAATAAACATAATCGCACTTTGCTGCCAAAAATGAATGAACGAATTAAATAAATAAAGGTGAGAAAAAAAGAAAGAAAACAGAATTGAAAAACTAACACACTGTTAAATCTCATCACGAAAACCCATTAAATTTTTTTAATCTATTTCTTAAAAGACACGCATAACATAATGACGTATTTTAACATTTAAAGCAATGTTTGAAAACACGGCAAATATAACTTTTACCAGATTGAACTGTACGAGGCAGCTGAGAGCGTTAACAACCTATACCTGGTGATGGAGCTCGCGGAGAATGGCGATTTACTGGATTATATATTGAAACACGGCTACCTGAGTGAGGAAGAGGCGAGAAGAATATTTCGGCAAATTCTTGATGTCGTAAAATATTGCCATGACAACTACATATGCCACCGGGACATCAAATGTGAAAATGTACTCTTGGACGAAGAACTCAACGTGAAACTTACAGGTAAAATGCTTGTTTGTTGATTTTTTCCTTTTTCGTTATCTTTGTTGGCTTAATCGTATGTCTGTCTGTCTGTCCGCCTGTCTGTCTCGTCTTTCAGACATTGCCTTGTTTATTTTATAAAATAAATGAAACTGTGTGATGAAGCTCAAAACACAAGAAAGTCGCAGAAAAACACAAAATGGTAAGTTTTATTATTTTATATGTTTAATTCAAATTTCAGATTTTGGCTTCTCCTGTCCCACCAGTGAAGGAGATTTGTTGACCCAACGCTGTGGTTCCTACGCTTATGCCGCCCCTGAGATCCTGGACGGGGACCCGTATGAAGGCTTCAAGACAGACATCTGGAGCATGGGTAAGTGCATGAGTCAAGGAGACAAACTCATAAATCAAAAAAGTACAATGAAAGAGGAAGCAAGGATTGTATAGATAAGTACATGAATAAAGACATAAATTATTGATGTAGGTGCGCTCGCGCACTTGTGTGTGCTAGAAAGTATCTAAAAAATTAATGGTTAAATAAATAATTTTAAAAAATCTTTACATACAGGGGTGACACTGTATGCCATGCTGTGTGGAAAGCTGCCCTTTCACGAAGAAGATATCGATATTTTGAGAATTTCAATGAATGATCGAATCCATTTCACAAGACATATCTCCAAAGGTAATTTTCTACCACCAGTTATTAACATTTGTCACAGTTTAGCTTCTTGCGTTGGTGTGTTTTATATTCACACTTTATTTCTGTGCATCTATAGAATTTAACTGCCCATTTGCATATTCAGAAAGTCCCCATTTATTGCCTTAAGTAGATGCCAATCATCTCCAAAATTCATCCACTATTAGCAACAAATCCTATTTTTTCAGACGCCAAAACTCTGATCCGCGCGATGTTGTGCCCCAACCCAAAGAAGCGTATCACCTTGGAAGAGATCTGCCACAGCTCCTGGCTCAGTAAACCCATGGGTGTATCCGGGGCAGGAGCACCTCTGGCGTCTCACGTGTCTTTGCACTCAGGTAGGGGAGGGTTCGCCCAGTAATTTGATTTCTCCATGACCTTTATATTTAGGAGCCTATGCATCCTAATTTGATGAAAATAATTGACTTATAGTAAAACAGAATAGTTGAAGTGCTCTTTCCAATTTCATTATTGAGATTATGTTGCTCAGATAGATTTGTTGTGGGGGTGGATTCTGTCACATTGATTTAATTTCAATTCTTACTTGCCAAACGGTTTGTTGTTGAGTTTTTCATTATGAATGCGCGCTAAGGTTTCTGAACATTTCTGTAGTTGAGAGCCGACCATCTGTGGAACTGAATCCCAATGCAGAACACGGGTATTCTTGCGATCAGCACAATGTCGAGATCAAACCCAAGGTAGTCACAAAGGTGTTGCGCTCTGTGGCTCTCAAACACAGGTGGGTGTGCATGTCGGCATACTTTTCACCCTAAAAAGACTGTGACAACTAACGCATTTTTTCATCATTTTGGGATTTAGAAGAGAAAGAAGTTCGTGTATTTAAAAAATAAAACCAAAAAAATTTGACTTTTTAAAAGGTCATAATTTATTCTACTGTGTCCTTTTTGTTAAAAAACTCTTTATAGCCAAAGCCTATTTATACATCTTCGCAATATTTTTGATGTACTGTATCTTTCCAGCACTGGTGAGAGTAAAGTTGATCTTCGGTCATGGAGTCTGCCAGGAATGGGCGCCACACTGGGGATTACAGGACAGGGGGCAAAGAAGATCCTGGAGGACTTGCATAAAGTGCCAGGTAAAAATTTCCCTATGAAAGACTGCCAAATAGGAAATTAAAACATAATACAAGCATAATATAAGCATGTTTTTTTTTCTTGCCGAAGTCGTTTCACAACATTATCCTATAACGCACTGCTTTATTGTAATCTGTTTGGTAATAATAAACATTAATTGTAGAGTTTCAAGTGATCCTTAATCGCCAAGCAGACATCCACCATCTTCCAAAAACCAAAGTCATCGCTGGTCCGCTGCGAAAGGGCAGTTTAGGCGCCACCATACTGCGCAGACTGAGTTGCCACAAGGGGCTCTCCTCCTCGTCAGTGATCAACTTGCCTCAGGACCGTCTCATGGCCTCCGTGACGAAGCTTCGAGAAGACCAAGTTTCCAAGGAACTTCGATCAGTCCATTACAGTTTTGCTTCTAAGGCTGCAGTGTGTGCAGGGAAGCAGAAGAAGCGAGCCGTCTTGGCAAACTACGCCAATAACATGGTTGCCGAAACCTACAGGATGCACACCGCCCCCGAGATTTCAAAACGAGAGAAAGAAGAACTTCAGCATCTTCGATCCATGTTCGCCGCAATGACACGACACAGAGAAGAATGAGAAGTTACCGCAGCTGGCCTTAGGAACTTCTCGTCAGAAAAAAAAAACTCGTAACATTTACGAATACAGTTTTAATTGCGTGCGTGAAAAAATGAATAAATTTGACAGATAACAATCAAGAAACGAATCCTTGCAAAAACTGATTCCCTTTTGGATATACTTTATTCACAGACCGGTATACATTTTTCTCACAAAACTCGTAACATTTACGAATACAGTTTAATTGCGTGCGTGAAAAAATGAATAAATTTGACAGATAACAATCAAGAAACGAATCCTTGCAAAACTGATTCCCTTTTGGATATACTTTATTCACAGACCGGTATACATTTTTCTCACAGTGATAAATCAAACGAAATAAATAAGAAAATTTATGAAAAAAATGTGTTAATTTTTCTTTACTTCATGTCGAAGGGTCATCAGATATTAGATATTCCGTCAAGGGTAAAGAAACGATGGTTAAGAAATACCCCTGCGGTGCGATGGTTGAATGCGATGGTTAAGAAATACCCCTATCAGAAACTCGACGGTTACGGCAAGAAAACCAGGCGTTTCTTAAACACGAGAGAACGTTTATGAACATAAGAAAGAGTAATCGGATGGAAAAGTTGCCATAGTATTTCCAATCTAATGAATAACGACAAGGACTGCTGATGATGATGATTGATCTCACAAGAATTCGTGTAAGATCGAAAAGTTATGAAAGATTTACAAGAGAAAACATTTTTCTCCGTTGCATTACATATCTCATACCTGAGCCCAAAATAAAATCGTGATAAATCGCTCTATAAGTAGTGGGTTTTTCCCCCAGCATTTTCTATCTCAATAGATTCGTCGTCACTTCTTATGCTTAATGGATAAATCGTGCTCGCTGCCTCTTAATACACTATCTTTATTAGCAGGCTTATAATGTCAAGGGACAAGAAACTTCTTGATTTCCTGGGAATCTATTAGTCATTTCTGATGCAATACGAAGCATAGATTTCCTCAAAGTATCACGATTTAACCTCGCGTCTGCCATTCAAATCGAGCATACCCTTCGCTTGAAGTGATCCTTTTTTGAACAGAAAAAAGTGGCTGGAATCTGTCGTTATCCAAGAAAACACATTGCTTTGAAGTTCAAGGGAACTAGCGGGAGTTTAATGCGACATTTTACACCGTTATAGACGAGGGATGTAGTAGGCCTATTTAAGTTTGGCGCACACTTCTGAGATTTTGAACAGGGGAGCATAATTTCATGCTCATACAGGGGGTCCCATTCCTCTTTACGCAGTACAAAGTATTTGGGGAATTGAACCAAACGCGATTAACATTTAAAATGTCAGTATTGTTTTAATACCAATCGGTTTCCATCTTCTCGGCGGAAGCGCTCTTCATCTGAGCTTATCTAGAAATACAATTTCACGAAACTGTAAGACAGATCAGAATTGCTTTTCAGAGGAAACTCACAGACGGCTGTCGCAGAATTTACATGTATGACGCAGAAGGGACTTTAGAAATACTATAAAATCCGAAAGGGAAAATCTTTGTAGACAAACGTTTGGGACCTATAACTGAAGGTTTGTAATAAATTGCAATACAGATTTTGAGATTTAATACCAATGGCGAAGCAGTGCTACAAAACAGTGGCATAAGAATATAGACTTTACAATGGAAAAAAATTATTAGAAAAGAAATAATCGTAACGGTATATGATTAAAATTTCTGCAATTCTTTTATCTATCGATTCTTTTCAGAATGGACGATAGGCACTTCAACAGCAGCAGGCTTCTTGATGATACGAACGTAACAATTTCTCCCGCCGACCTGGTCGCCAATGCTTCTACCGCGGCGGCGCCAATGTCCAAAACTATCGCAGCGACTTTGTTCTACGTGAACACGGTGGCCGGGGGAGCACTGAGTGTCTTTGGCATCCTTGGGAACATAATGGTTATCACAGTATTTACCCTACACAAACCAATCACTCCCACCTCCATTATGCTACGAGGCCTTGCAGTATCGGACGCTCTTTTCCTTCTGACTACGTTTCTGTACAAACCCATGCTAGGGATCTATTTCCACCTGGGACAGGCCACTTTTTACGCCAAGAACATATATACTTGTATGATACAATATCTGAGACCCATCATGTATAGCTTACAGCATATCAGCACATGGCTCGTCGTCGTCGTGGCAGTAGACAGACATTTCGCCGTGTGTCGCCCTCTGCAGAGTAAGAGCCAGCGTCATGCCATACGCACACGCGCTCGTCGCACAGTGTTGACCGTTTACCTCGTCTGCTTCGTGTTCAACATTCCAAGATTTTTTGAATATGAGACCAAGGTCACACAAAATGAGAATAGGCCGATGTGCAAACCCGAAGTAAATCCCTTCGTTAAGAAAAACCGATTCTATATCATCTTTTACTGCTGGACTTTATATTTTTTGGTCATGTACGTTGTTCCCATTGTAACAGCGACTGTCATTAATGTTAAGTTGATCCTGTCACTACGCCAGGCGCGCAAACAACGTGCGTTTTTGAGAGAGCGGCAAACGCACAAGGTTCGCAGGTACAACACCACCCGCTTGCTTATCATTGTGGTCATGGTTTTCATCGGTTGCCAGACACCTGATTTTGTGTTACAAGTGTTTTATTTTATCAACGTTCTGAATCCGATGAAGATCAAGCAATCACTAGATGTGTTCAGCAAAGTGACAGATACGTTGCTCACGTTGAACGCTGCAGTGAACTTTCTGATATACTGCGCAATAGGAACAAGCTTCCGTAAAACTCTCACGGATCTTCTTATGTGTAAGATAACGAGAAAGACCAAGGCAAAGTTTCCATTGCAGCTAAAGCTTTTTTCTGTGGAATCTACTTTCAGCACCTCTTTGTCGGGTTCAGCAGCCAACCACTTGCGTACAAGAAAAAAGCCAAGCAACGCTAAGGACAACAACGCCCATAAATCTTTATACAAAACTGTCCAATCCAAGTGAAAGTACTTTATATAAGAGAGGATATGTTTATCATTTCAGTCCTTCGATTAACAAATTAACTAAAAAGTGCAATTGGCTAGGGGAGACCGGGGTTAGTTGGACCCCGGGGTAAGTTGCCCCCCCCCCCCCCCCCTTAGCACTATTGGATGCGGTCACTTTACAAAATGATGTGATCAGTTTTTTTACCCCATAGTTACTTTGTCATAAATTGATGGGGGTCCAACTTACCCCGGGGTCCAACTAGCCCCGGTCTCCCGTATATCTTTATATATATTACGGTAGTAGGCTTACAGTACATTAACAGTCAAATACACTACTGCATTGTACACAGTGTAGTAGAGAGTTGTAGTGCAGCGTAATGTAGAATATCAACTACTATTATTATTATTATTGTCCCTGTTTTTGTTGTCACTAGATAAATATATGCGATAGTTTATTGGAAATCTGAATATAGGGCAAAATAATATCAAAATGTCCTTTGGCCTAATTAGTATCATTTAATTTGGCCTGTTATGTAATAATATCATAGTTTATACTAATCAGTGATACTGGGGCCGTGCTTGCTATACTTGTTATATCATAATTAAAAGATACAAATGAAGCGAGAGTAAATACCCCGTGACGTATATGAATTAATAAAAAAGTTTTTTTAAAAAAAAACGCAGAATAAAGCTTTTAAACTGCACCTTCTTCTAAATGCTTTTCGTAAATTTGACATACTTATTCTCTATGTCCGTAAACCATAGAAATTAAACAGGAAATAGAGTAAATATCGTTTTCCGGGAATGATATACCCATCCTTCTTGTTTCAGTTATACTATTTGAAACTATACGGTTGCATCTGAACGCGTATAGCGGCAATAATTTGACGTAAGCAGGGGCGGATCCAGGATTATTTGAAGGGGAGTACCGCGGATGCGAAGCCGACCTTCAAAAAACCCCCCCCCCCCCCCATCACCACCACCACCACCACCCCTTGGCGTGGGGTTCGAGGCCTGCTGAAGGGCTCCAATAGTTTTTGGTATTTAAGAGGAAGAATGGTGCCATTTGGTACGGTTTAGAATTATGATTCAGCCAGTCAAAATTCTAATTTCAAGAGGGGACCATTGGTGTGATTTTTTTCGGTGCAAATATATATTATTAAAGAAACCTCATGTTTTCTTTATTTTCTTTGTGTCGATTTTTTACTTCTGGGGTAGCATACAAACTCCTCTACAAAGTCATAATCAGAAAATAACCGCGTCCTACTGATTTTTTCAATCTCTTTCTTTCAAACTCAAGGAAAGAAACTAGTGGATTTAAATGTACTCAGATGTAAAACGAATAGGATTCTTATTGAAAACTGTATTAGTCATGATATTACACGATAGCACGCTAAACCGTCACAAAAGTAATCAAAATATGCTCACCGTATGATGGCATATTGATGATGCATATCGTCGTAAAATTAGGAAAAGGAGATTGTCGTAACCGATTGAACGTTTCTTGTAAAATATCGTTACTTTTTAATGAGATTTTTATAGATGTAGGTTTAAGTCAACAACAAATCTACGCGGCTTACCTTGACGTAAACCATATAGTAGGCGGTTCCATTTGAGAGCTTTCCTTTTGAAAAAAAATAATAAGACAACAGGCGCACAGGAAACAAAATTTTAAGTGTGTGTGGGTCTAACCATTAAAATAATTAGATACGTGCACTTTGGACGACAAAAAACGTTTTATTCGTCCAAGCGTGCATAAAGTTGACTAGGGTATGAAGTAGTCATTGAATGCACACAAAGCATAAAGAAGTATACAGGTGTCATTCTTTCTTCCTCGATTGCTGGAAATGACGTGATTGAAATAACTATGTGTATATGGGGTGGGGTGCCGACGGGTGAGGGTCCCAAGCTTCACATCGACTTTTCTTGAAGTGTATTGCGTCTCAAAATCCCAAGAGTGGCTTCTCATTTTAAAATAAAAATAATCTTATTAAATTCAATTCAAGTTAAGATTTAATTGTCACTAGCTGCAATTGAAACAGCTCTCGTTAAACACAAAAAGGTCACTTAAATTATACGTTGTTGAAGGACAATTACCGGTTTCCTGAAAAACACTATCAGATGATCAGAAATTCTCTTTAGATGTAAAATTCCGCGCTCAGCAGTTTAGGTTTATATTCAAGTGTGTGTGGTGATGGCACAAATGGCATTTTCATTCTCTCGACTCGGCATACTAAGGTAGGCTTATGTCTTAATCCAAGCCCATTTATTCAATGAGGCTTTCAAGTATTCACAACTTACTCTTACCTATGAACCGCAAGCAAGCGTGACGCGTCAAGTGGTTTCTGTTACCATCCTTGACAAATGATACCCTGGGACGCCGTTAACGGCAAATAGTTTTAAATCATTTGACTTTCAAAAACTTTAAACCGGTATAGCGCAGTACAGCGTTAAGTATGGAAAAGGAGAACTCGAGCCCGATTTTCTCTCAGGAACTGATAAGAAGTAAATACTTATCAGAAAAACACAAAGATGAGAAGGTGCGTCGCACATCAAAGACCGTACATGCTGACTTCGTAAGATTAAAAGCTAGAACTGAGAGGTTACGAATTAAGGACATCCTCATACGAAGCAGATCCACTTGTGTTTTATTACGGGCTAAGCGACTAAGGACGTGCTCACCTATACCCCTTGGGAGAGACACCTGTGCCCATTTCAAGGAACACAAAGTTACAGGCGCCGAGTCCCGATCAACGCCTACAGGGTCCCCCATTCGCGGAGCAAGCCTGCGAAATTCGCCTCAAAATAATTTGGAACTGCGTCGCTGTATTACAACTGGTCAATTGCTTCTTCCTAGTGAAGATCAGTCTGATCGCCCAATTCCTCCACCAAGAAGGAAGAAAAATCAACGCAAGATGGCACTGACGTGGACCGAACCAAACGGTTAAGTGTGACAGACTCACATACCTCCACCAACAAAGGAGGTTATGTTCTTAACAACGTTGGGTTGCCTTTTTTTTAAACAAGATATCTCAAAAAGTTCTGGACAAATACTGATGACAATTTCAGGATGTTCATCTATTCAGAACGGAAGGGAAAAACTACAATTTCATCTGAGTCCGAATCTCTTTATATTTAAAAAGTCTTTTTGGAAAATTGAACAATGTCAAAATTATCGATAGAAAAGAATTAAGAAGACAAGGAATAAAAGGATCGTTTCCATCTTGTATTTTGGATAGAAAATGGGAAGATTCAAACATCGAGGTCAAATGGATTACAACTGGTGCTTTGAATAAAAAGCAATATTGTGAAAAACAGCATATACAGACAAACTATTACCACTTTAAATATATATGTCGATGTTAGCTCATAACTTAAGCCTTTATTACTATAGGACACAGTGGCGAAGTGATGTTCCAAGAAATCAAAACGAAAACGATTGAAAATCACATACGATTAATAATAATGGCTTATTTGATCCTATTTGATCTTATTCGAACTTATTACTATAGTAGGCCCTATAATCCAATATTTTTAAGAGTTAAATGTCGTCGTTTAAGTTATATCGGATTTTAAAATAATAAAATTTCAGTGAAGCTTGTTTCGATTCTAAGAGCATATTCTGCTGGTTTCTGCTGCTAAGACTTTACACCGCAGCAACGTTTATCTTACTATACGAGTACCCTCTACCAGGGCCACAGATTGATTTCTCAATAGATATTAACAGATATGTCTCTGATTAAATAGATGGCTAATATCTGCACTGTGCCTCAGCAAATATGTCGACAATAATAACTGCGGCCCTGGTAGAGGGTACTGTACGGGTAGTAGGCTATAATTACATGTATCCCTTCACATGCTCTTTGTTATTATGATTGTGGTAGAGAAGATTTTGATAGTCATTTCCCGTGGTACTGAGTTTTGTGGAAGTGGTGAATGATGGGGAAATGAAAGTACATGGTGGAAGAACCAAGTGTTGGTTTTCTGGAATAAAGTGCCAAAGTGTATTCAACAACAACAACAATAACAACAAGCGTACTTCAGTAATATACTCGTATGTGCTGACCAAAGACCATAGACAACAGTTTCCACAACCCCTCCACTGAAATGAGCTATACCTGTTGTTATTTGCATAACAATATGTTGCTCATCGCAGTGCGAACTGTCTTCCAGTCACTTGACAGTTGGACACCGAAAGGTGAAGACGCAAGAATACACGTATCTATCGTGCAGTCGTAAGTTCAAACTTTTATAAGGCGTGGAAGTTGCAGAAGCAAAATTGCACCTCTTGTAAGTATGATGATTTTTTTCAACGTGCGAAAGTTAGGTATTAAAACCGCAGAAGAAGGAAAGAAAAGTTACAATATATGTTTGTAACACGCGTCTTTGTTATATTCCATCTGTCAATCAGACAAAGTCGTACATGCATCTCTCCACGGGAAATATTGATAAATGTCTATTATTATTATTACCTCAGCAAGAATATCAAAATATATTGTTTATGAAGAAATTATTCTTTGGGAATGAAAACGAACAGGAAGAATCACACTCCTTTCTAGCCATCTTTGGCGAAAACCTGCGTTTAATTGAAATCTTACGCTTTGCAATTTCCAATTTTTCTCAGGAAATCTGCATGAATATTTGTGTGATCCTGTACATTTTAAATGTTTTACGTGAATGTTAGAATAACCACAAAGAACACTGATCAATCAAGATACTAGTGCTCGTTACAGTTTTGAGTCAAATTTTATCAACAATGCAGAGGCATCTTTTTTTGCCAATTACATGTACGATGGTTTTTAGGAAAATTTCTAAAAAAATTATCTGAAAAATCTTATGGTCAATTTGTGTCCAATTCCTTTTAATATTTTTGAATTATTCTTGATATATTTCAATGATTTTAGGTTTTACGTATGATATTTGGATGCAATGTTTGACATTTGTTTTATCGCGGTTTATAAGAAACTTCATTATCACCGTTGTTGTTGTTGTACATGCGCACATAGTAGATTTATTATT